GGGGGGGAGCGGGGGAAGGGCGTTGGTTCGGCTTCGGCGAATCGGAACCCGGAGGCTGCATCGCAGGATGGCGGAGCTGCTGCTGCGGCTGCTGCATCCAACGATCAGGATCAGTCCAAGCACAACGCCGCCCCTTTACGACACCGTCTCGATCAGAGCCTGTATGTGATGGTTACGCCGCCGCCCAACGGCAACGGCAATATCAACGGCATCAGCAGCAACAACAACGGCAGCAACCAGAAGGTGGGTCAGCTGGGGACCTTCGATCACGTGGCGAAGATCGGGGGGCAGCAGGTGAATCATCATCATCAGCATCAGCAGCAGCGATCCAACGGCGGGGATTTTCAGATGAGTAATGGGGATCATCACGACGTGGACAGGGACATGAGGGAGCTGAGGGAGCTGTTCTCTAAGCTCAACCCCATGGCTGAGGAGTTTGTGCCTCCTTCACTTGCTAACGGTCATGGACTTAATGCTGGCTTTGTTAACATGGCACTAATGATGCAAAATGGCAACAGAAATGGACAAGTTAATGGCTTTGGTGCTGGTCGACGGGTATATACATCTTTTTCTTTTTTCTCTTTCGTTTTTAGGACTTTAGCTTTATGGGTTCATTTCCTTTTGATTGTTTGGTTGATTGCTGAGAAAAATGATTTGGAAAATTTGTATTTTGTTGGTTTGTTTGTTTGTTTATTAGGTTGTATAAACTTTGTGGACGGGTATATACATCTTTTTCTTTTTTCTCTTTCGTTTTTAAGACTTTAGCTTTATGGGTTCATTTCCTTTTGATTGTTTGGTTGATTGCTGAGAAAAATGATTTGGAAAATTTGTATTTTGTTGGTTTGTTTGTTTGTTTATAGGTTGTATAAACTTTGTATTAAATATTAGGCCACCAAATGGCTCAGGTTTATGGTTGAGACTTCATTCATTGATGATTGTTCTTTTTGTTTTTTAATCAGAGAAACAATCAAGGGAAACGGAGAATCAACAGCAGGACAAGTCTAGCGCAGCGAGAAGATAGAATTCGAAGGACTGTGTATGTGTCTGACATTGATCAACAGGTATAGAGATAACATTTTCTTTCGTTGTGATTAGCATTTTGATCTACGTGAAACTAATGCTGCGGCCTCCTCTTTGGGACATAGGTCACTGAGGAACAGCTTGCAGCTCTCTTTGTTACTTGTGGGCAGGTAATAGTCCTCTTTTGAAGAGCTCTGTGATTGGCTGTACTTAATTTCTGGTTTTGAACAATTGCCCTTTTCCATGTCTGAAGGTTGTTGACTGCCGAATTTGCGGTGACCCTAATTCTGTTCTCCGTTTTGCCTTTATAGAGTTCACTGACGAAGGTAATGTGGATGGCATATGCTGAGATTACGTGGCTGCATAAGCTTGAATAGTTATTTTTCTGTGGTCATGATCTGTGATTGTTGCTGATTGATTTTTGGTTGGTGGTTTTTCGTTATGCAGATGGTGCACGAGCTGCTTTGAGTCTGGCTGGGACAATGCTTGGATTCTACCCTGTTAGGGTGTTGCCCTCTAAGACAGCTATTGCACCTGTTAACCCTACATTCTTGCCTCGGGTGAGTCAACCTCTTTTGTGACAGTTGCAGATTCTGAACTGGAGATAATTTTCGCCTTTTGGAATCAGTATTTTCTTGCATAGTAACTTGTTTATCCATTGGATCTTTGGTTTCAGACTGAAGATGAACGTGAGATGTGTGCACGAACTATCTATTGTACAAATATTGACAAAAAGGTATCTTTCTTGAAGGGTTTTGTTACCAATGTGGCCCAAGTTGAGATTTGTAAAATTTTTATGGTTGTTATTTGGGTTGATTTGTGCAGGTTGCCCAAGCTGATGTCAAACTCTTTTTTGAATCTGTCTGTGGAGAGGTTTGTGATTTCATAGAAAGTTTGAATTTATGTTTCATTTTTAGGTAAACTCGCTAATAGTTATTTTTGCTGCCAATGTATTGGAGTATTTATGAAGACATCTCTTCTGATGCAGGTTTATCGTCTGAGGCTACTAGGGGACTATCACCACTCTACTCGCATTGCCTTTGTTGAGTTTGTGATGGTAGTTGCTTATTCCTTTATGCTTTGCATGCTGTATTTTTATTTTCTTAGTATTGCTATCTGGTTTCACTTTTAGACCATTAGAAACAAGCTAGGTAGATATGAGGATCATGTAGGAATACTTGAGCATTCTAGTTTTACCAAATGCTCTTTGTGATAACGTATTATGGCAGATTGGTATTCAACCTTTTAAAAAGTCTCTTTAATTTTCACTTGAGTAATGTGACTAATGTGCCTCACTGCTGCGATGGATTTGCGATTTAAGAAGCAGTTTATTTTAAAAGGGTGGAGATGGATGATTAGCAGGAAGAGGGCTTTTGGGATTCGGATACGGGGAGAAGGTTCTTTGAAAATCTGTGTTAAGCCTTTGATGTTCGTTCCTCTCTATTCTTTCTGCCATGCAGTGATCGGATAGGAGAAGTTTAGGTCTTTACTTTTGTAAAGGCCAATTGAATGCTTCATTCATTGTTAGTGGTAGATTGTAAAACTATAGTTGAGTCACAGCCTATGAACCTAGGAACAGTGATAAACAAACAAACTTTATCATTCTATGCGGGAGATTTTGAATTCGAAAACCTTGCAACTGCTACTTTCTAATGTATGTTGAATTCCACTGGCTGGGCTTTCTAGTGGTTTAGAGAATTTAGTAGATCTTGATTCACATGGAATAGGTCAAATCAGAGTCATGTGGTAAACTGCCAGAAAATTTAAAATTCAATAGAATAATCGTTGCCTGAGTGGTGGTTGTCAAGACCATCTCTTGTGCTTATGTCTTTATTTCTCAGAGGATCACTTATTAAGTGTGGTTCTGTCCTATTCCCCTCCGTTTCCTAAGTCCCCATTTTGGTTTTTGATAAGTATATCTATCTTTTCTATTCTTGTTTACGTTTTCCTTTTTTGCCATAGTTTATACAATATTGAAATTCGAAGTTGTTATTGCTTCTTACATTCCTCTTCCAGCCCATAGGTTTGTTATTTGCAGTACCTATGTTTTGGAGGCAAGCAAGCCTCTTAAGGTCCTGTCATTTTAGTTGTGTTTCTTTTTCCTAGAAATATAATGTCTTGTGCATTGTAGAACATACTATAACCATGAAGTGTCAAACTTGAGTCCTCCTGAAGTTGGATTGCAAAACGAGTTGCGTTATGCGTGATATCTGCTCATAAAAAATAGACGCCCACAGTCATTGCTGCAATTCATAAAAATGTAATTGTAATGTATTTCCATCCTGCAGGCTGAAAGTGCAATTGCTGCTCTCAACTGTAGTGGTGTGGTTTTGGGATCATTGCCAATCAGGTTGGATTGCATCTATCCTATGAATGGAATACTGATTCCCTTTCTTTTTCTTCTCCCAACCTTATGAATTATATAATTCCTAGATAAGTCTGATTTTGGTTTATTAATATATCTGGTGTCTTGTATAAGCAGGGTAAGTCCATCAAAGACACCTGTTCGTCCACGCTCTCCTCGCCTTCCCATACATTGAGTCATCTTTGGCATCCCAGACTGATTTACGGTTCCGGTTGGAAATATATTTAAATACACATACAACTTATGTAAAGATGTTCTCCGTGCCTCTGGTCGTTCTGCTTTTATCTATACTTTTCCTCGGCCTTCATAGCCTTGGATCTTTTGATCTCTTTTTAGAGTTTATTATGATGTTCTGGAATATAGAGTTGGACAAAAACCTTGAGGCTTAAAAGATGAATTCCATGTATTATTGTTCATTTTGGTTTGGTCTTTCTCTTAAGACTAAACGCTGCAAAGTAGTTTCTGACATATATTAAAGACCCTTTTAACAGCCTTCTGTAAGTTAATGGAAATCGTCCTTTTGGTTAATGGGTGGTTTTGCTTAGATGTTGCTCATACTTCATCTTTTACTCTCCATGTCTTGCTTGCATAATTGCATTGCATATTTGGGCTTGCGAGCTTGCATTTTTTTGTTGTGGCCTTTGAAAGTTGATTTAATAATAAAGAAAAAAAAGGGTTATATTTCTTGGAAGTTGTACTTGTTTTGAGCAAAATGAACTTTTTTAAAATTGTAGATGTGAAAAGTTTGGGGGTTTGTTTTTCTGTTTTAGATACAAGCGATATTTTACTTTAATCTAATCTAAATTACGTGGAGGGGGATTTGAACTGGGGTGCAAAATGGAGAGCTCATCCACTCTACCCAAGTATTTTTAATAGAATAGAATTACCCTTAATTAAATAGTAATGCATTACAAGCCAATCACAATACAACTGTTTAATACATCACAAGGAAACTCAAGGTAAGAAGACCTTTGCGTCAACTCAAGGCAAGAAAACCTTTGTGTCAACTCAAGGCAAGAAAACCTTCGTGTCAACTCAAGGCCTACTTTGACTAAATTAGATGGCATGCTCCAAAATCCAACTGCAAGCAAAGCACAATCCGTGAAACAGAGGCCTCTGGCCATCCATGTCCAGCTTGCAAGTTGCATGAAAAGCTCAGAGCTGTAAAACGCATCTCAGCGACTTGCCTTCAATGAGCAACTGAAATGCATCGTTTATCTTCTCAAAAGGAAGCTCGTGCGTTATGAACTTATCCAAATCCACAACCTGAAAGGCACATGAATAAAACTTTCAGAATTGGAAAGGAAGGGTAATGTTGTTCCTCGCCCGACTTAAGTTGTCATACTTATATTGTCTGATAGTAAATTTAGATAATAAGTTTGGATAAGTGTAACAATTTAACAATATAAACATCTTACGTCACGAGACTATTAATATAAATATGTAGGAATTTGACTAACCCCATTCATGCATTCTTGTGCAAAATGAGGGAGTTGGGACTTCCCTTTGAAGCCTCCAAACACAGATCCAATAATTCCTCGACCATGAACCAACTCCATTGGATGGAGAAGGAGCATTTTTGGGGTTGGATGAATTCCCAAAACCACAGTAAACCCCCACCCCTGTAATTAGAAAACAGAAAATCATATATATCTTCTCACCATGAATTTCATTGAAATTAAAATAGACAACACACACAAATAAATCATATAGAATAATAAATAAGCTAGCTACCTCATGTGTGGACAGAAAGGCCTCTCTCAGAACATCCAAGTTCCCTATACACTCAAAGCTATGGTCCACTCCACCATCTGTTATTTCTCTGATCCTCTGTAACCATATCGGCCAATGAATTTTTAATTTCAAAGAGACCATGATTTTGTAATTGAAACAGAATATTCGATAAGATATCGAAAATACAGAGAAGAGTTATTGACACTCTAAAAGAACATCTGAATTACTTCATGTGCCACCATCTGTTATTTCTCTGATCCTCTGTAACCATATCGGCGAATGAATTTTTAATTTCAAAGAGACCATGATTTTGTAATTGAAACAGAATATTCGATAAGATATCGAAAATACAGAGAAGAGTTATTGACACTCTAAAAGATCATCTGAATTACTTCATGTATAATTTTTTTTGAAGTGCTAATAACAGCTCCCTAAATACACCATCATTAATAAATGTAACGATCCACTGACCTCATGCAAGGGCTTTCCGGGTTCACTTGGATTTATGAAATCTGTCACTCCCATTGCTTGACCTGTGTTATACGAAAGATTTGCTAAGCCAAGGCAAATGTCCAAATCAAGTATAAATTATGTGCTTACTTCATGACACAAATTAATTACAACAAATTAGACGGCCACCTTTGATGAATTTATTGGGGTTAATGTCAACGCCTATTATTCTAGATGCTCCTCTGGCTCTTGCTCCTTCAGCAACCTGACCCAATTGCAACTTGCATTTAGTTGAAGCCATTTGATATAATAAAGAAGCAGCCCCACTTGAGCAATGAGATTGACAGCTGCAATTAATTTTTTGTTGATATAAACAAAGCAAAGTCTTTCAAGTTCCAAGTTAATAATACTCACTTGCATTTAGTTGAAGCCATTTGATATAATAAAGAAGCAGACCCACTTGAGCAATGAGATTGACAGCTGCAATTAATTTTTTGTTGATATAAACAAAGCAAAGTCTTTCAAGTTCCAAGTTAATAATACTATTTTTTTTTTAAATGAATTATTGGATGAGATTATTTGGATATAAAGATTGAAGACAAATACTCTCCACAGTCAACATGTCTCTCTTTTTTATATAATATATGAAGAAAAATAATAATACAAAAAGTCAATATATTTTAGTAATAAGGTGCATGCATACATACATAGTTGGTGAGTATTTGACCAAAAAGGCAACAAAAAAAGAAGCAAGAAAACCTGTGAGCAACTCAACCAAAAGGAAAAACCTAAAGAAACTCACAGCAAGTCCCACGGAACCTAAGCCGAAGATGGCGACTGTCGAGGCGGCTTGCACATTGGCAGTGTTCCATGCAGCACCAACTCCTACATATATCACATGACCAAACGCATGCATTATAATTCTGTATAACATGAAATGAACATCAATACTCTTTAGAATGTTCTCTCGTAAAACAGCCATTTACGAATTTGATACCACTCTAGACTATCGTCAATACTTTAATACAGTTATGTCACAATATCTTTGTTAGTTAATTAAGGTTATTCCACATCAGCAATTCTTACATACTGGAGATAAAGAATTAATTGTTCATGTTGATAAAAAAAAAATTTGGCAATACATAATCCATTCCAGAAGTTTTGGATAGACTCTCCCTGATATTGTGGATTCTGTTGCTGCTAACTTCCATGTGGTCTTTTGCAACAAGACAAAATATAAGTCAGATATGGACTAGACTATAGAATTTGGACCAAGGTGTCCAAATTTGAGAATACATAATTAAGAAGAAGAAAAAAATCTCAAAATAATAACGTATGCTAAAGGGTAAGGGCACAAGTTGATATTATTATTTATTATAAAATTAATCAATGCACAATTGACGCATGACTTACCAGTTGAAACGCCACAACTGAGCAAGGTCATCTTCTTGAGGGGAGCCTCTGGATCAATCTTGACCACACAAGCGGATTCAAGGACTGTGTACTCACTGAAAGTTGATGTGTTGAGAAAATGGTAAATGGGTTTTCCATCTTTGGTTGAAAACCTACTTTTCCCATCGTTGTTCATCACCTTCTTAAATGGGTTCACCCCAAAGTTGTGGCAAATATTGGTTTTCTCAGACTTGCAACATTTGCAGTCTCCACACTCTCCATTGAAGATTGGAATCACATGGTCCCCTTCTTTCATGTCCTCGACACCTTCACCCACACTCTCAACAATTCTGTCAACAACCGAAACGAGATTTTAGGGTCGAATCTTAAAACGGTAAATGTTTCATTGATTTTTTGTCAATAACCTCAATGTTAGCAGGTATTGTAGATTGGCGGCATATATGACTTACCCAGAAGCTTCATGGCCTAGAATTCGAGGAAAGGCTCGTTGAGCTTCATTCTATAACAAGTAACAAGCAAAGTTTCGAGAATAAGATGACAAAAAATAGGCGGAAAATTTTCCATTACAAATATATTCAGAGGCATAGATATACATACCTCTCCTTGCCAAGCACTAAGATCAGTATGACAGACTGAGGTGAAGAGGATCTTGATTCGAACCTCCAATTTCTGAGGTGGGTCGACTTGAACTTGTTCCATCACAAAAGGTTGCCCTGGACCCCATACAACAGCAGCTTCACCAATCACCACCGTTCATCAACCAACATGTAAGAGTGTTTGATCAAGTAGATATACAAACAACGAGGAAAAAGAAATCATGTAAACACTGAACCTCATATACCTTTGCAAGTGATGACCTTTCCGGTTGTTCTTTGATCACTTGGTTTGGACCAACCATTGGCAGAATTTTGGTGATTGGCCATCTTTTTGTCTTAGTTTTAGCAAATGTGCACAAGTAAAAGCCCGCTGTGATGCAAGTATTCTAAGTTCTTATATATATATATATATATATAGTTAGAGCTATCTGGGATTTCCCTTATAAAGACAGAGAAGCAAGAGAAAGCAATCTCAAGATTTGGAAAAGTAGATTTAAAATGTGGGGACGTCGAAGTTGGATGTCATTATATATATGAATCAGAAGATATGGTTTACTAATCTGCCATTGACTTTGTATTAATTGTAAGGAAAAAAGAAAAAGAAATATTGAAGCTATACAGAACGTAAGTATACAATTGGATGACATATACTAATATTTTACTACGGACTTGACTTGCAGATAAAAGGTTTTGAAACCTCTCTCTTATAATTTAAACAATCGCTTGTACTAAAAAAATCTTCACTATGGACTTGGTCTCTGGAGATAGCTTGCTAGCTGGGCCGCAGACGGCACCCACAACACTTTGGCTGTCTAATTTAATATATATATACCTTGACTGAGAAAAATCTATAAAACAAACAAACCATATATTTCTTGATAAATATTGTGAAAGCTTCATTTTGTAATTTTTTTTCCATATTTCAATTAGTCAGCGGCACGTTTGCGTGCTTGAGATGTACACAACGCAAAAGGACGGCAAATCTAATTTTAAAAGATAAAAAACGATTTTACATGCACGTCAAGCCCTCAATATATATATATATATATATTAACCAGTGTGTTAGGTCTAATACTCACACATGTTGCATCATAGTTGGTTTGTTATATGATATTTTAAATTATTCTACTGTATAGGAAGGCAGATCAAATTCAAATGTAACTATACGAGAATATACTGAGAATCTGATTTAAGTCACATTTGCATAATGTCGTTAATTATTAAGAGTAGTTTTAAAATTTGTTTAATGAGTTTAATTTCAAAGTCGGCAAAAGAAATTGAAGTCGAATAATGACTACCTATGTGATTAGAAGACGGTTAGAAAGAGGCCTGTTGGGGAAATAGACGATGAATGAAATTAATTAAAACCCATGGTAGCCTTGAACTACCTCAGTTATTGGCATTGGTTTCTAGACATGTCTACCGGGGCCCCTTGGAGCACGGCTTGGGTTTTTCGTTCTTGTAGCATTAGATGTTTTGTTGGTCTGCTCAATCTCAATAGTCAATCTTTTATGCCCGAAGCTCCAACCTCATTTCTCAACATTAATTGCCCACAATAATTTGGGTTTCTGGATCTCTACATTCCAAAGTTTAATATGCGGCTAATTTTGCAAGCATGTTCTGTGGCCCTTGATCCTCAATCCGATCATGCATGTGTGGCCACCTGCCGCATTGCTCTGTAATCAAAACAGAAAATTGGGTAGAAATTTGTAGCTCTAGTGGTCAAGAAATCCCGAAAGAGAAGATGAGAGTTCGGAAGCTCTGATCTAATCAATGGTCCAGCAAGATGGACTTGACGTTCACAATAAACAAAAATGCCATGGTTGAAGGAAAGTTCTGGTTTATAGCTGGGATGCAACAGTTTTAAGTGCAAGCCGAACCAGCGCTTGGAATGTTTGGGAAATAAAAACAAAGCAACCGACACATACATATGGGCATATGAAAATATCCCTAAGAGTATATAGTGTATTAAATGGAAACTCTCTGTGTATATATATATAGTAGGCATAAGTCGGCAGGTCAGACAAAAAATAAAGGTGGCAGGTTGTGCAAGCTGCACATAATGCTCTTGAGGATCACATCACATTTATAGCGAAATGGAAACTTAATTTTCTTTTTGGTTTTCTCTTGGGCTTCGGCCCTCCTTGTAACCCCGGAAAAAAACAAACGTGTTATAGTTTCTTCTCATAGCTAGTGGCCATTGTATCTTTTCATAGCACAAATTTTTGGTTAGGTTACGTGACTTGAAAAAGAAAAAGAAAAGAAAAAAGAACGCCGATAAATAGATACCATTCTGGTAGCGTTGTAATTCGGTCACCCTTTGATCTTTTTGGTACTTTGGGGGCTAAGGCCCAAAACGTAAACAAACACTATACCAGGGAAAAGCTTGGCGGTCTTTTTTGGGGAGTGCCAGGACCTGGGCTTGGACACTTCCTTTTTATTCTTTTTTTTTTTGGGGATAATATAATAGTTGGTTATATATACATTCCCACAAGACTCAATATGTATGCTGATTCTTTTCATTCACAAAAGTAAAAAAAATCACA